TACTGCAGTATACACACACACACACACACAATGGAATACTATTCAGCAATCGAAAAAGATAAACTCATGCCATTGGCAGCAACATGGATGAAGCTGGAAGAGATTATGCTCAGTGAATTAAGTCAAAAGGAAAGAGAAAAATATTGGATGGTTTCACTTCTAGGAGGAACATAGGGGAGCCATACAAGGGATCAACAACTAAAAAAAAAAAAACTAGTGGACAAACTATAAATCAGAGACATTCAATAGGGGGAGAGGAGGGAGAGTACTTAAAAGAGGGAGGGAACATACAAGAGACTATGGTGGCAGTTGATAGGTATCTTGGGGATTACATCTCAGAGAATGAATGATGTGTGTGTGTGTATGTGTGTATAAATCCCTTATACTTGTAGTCTCATCTGAATAATTTTCAATGAATAATTTTCTGAGGAACCCCAATGCCCTAGCCCCCTAGGCATCTGATGTACTAAAATTCATCTCTAAAATCATTTGTCTCTTAACATGACAAAACTAAAATACTAAATAGGCATTTACTAAACTGTAGGAGTTCCTCAGTGATGTAATTTTTATAGCTTTATATAGTCCTTACCTTTTGACCATAGTGATTTGAAAGCCCAACATAATGAACTCTTCACTTACCTGTATTAACAATTCATTGAGTGTTTAACCTAAAAGTAAGCTGATTCTGGGCCTCTCCAGTGGCCTAGGGGTTAAGTCTCAGCACTATTACCGCCAAGACCTGAGTTCTATCCCTGTTCAGGTAGCTAATCACATATGGCGCAGTAGACCTCTCCTGTCTTGCCCACTGCTCCCCTCAGTAATATATTTCAGTAGATCTGCCTGTTCTGCTCTCCACTCTGTCTCTGGTGAAGACTCTCACCCCTGTACCTCTGGCCTACACCCACTTTTTCTACATAAAAATAAATACCTTTAAAAAAATAGCTGGTTCTTACAGTCATATGTGTGCAAAGCACAAGGGTTTGTTAAATTTTACATTTTTATTCTCTTAATCCACAGTTAGGACACTTCCTGTTTACCAGGCACAGCTACAAATGCTTTTGAAATACTTATATAGTTATCATAACCAACTTCTGAGAAGGCACTACTATTCCTGGCATCGTTCTAAAGGGAACGAAAGCTCAGAGATTAACTTGCCTAAAGACACATATGAGCTAACGTGGAACTTCAAATGCAAGCACTCTACTCCAGCCTGTTATTAGCCAGCATACGATGTCAGCCCTTATTTTTCCTTCTTCCAAAGAGAATCTTAGGATTTTCAAGGGTGGAGGACCCATAAATCAGTTGTCTACCAAAGATGGCGGAGTAAAAACTACTTTTTTCCCTCTCCACAAGGATAACTGTAAGGCAAGAGGCATTAATTTTAACTTCATCAAGTTCCTTTAAAGGTGGCTGTTACAATCACTGTACTCTGGGGACCTCCCCTCCACATTTCTAGAAGCTTCATCCCTCATCTCCTTTGGTCTTTATATGCTTTACTCACAGCCCTAAGTTCTTTTCCTGCAAAATTCTTTGCCAGAGTTCACAAAGATTTTCCTAAAACACAAAGCTGTTATTTCTTCATTTTCAATTTCTTCAACACCACTGCTTTATTCTGTGGATAAAAGCCAGTAATTTCGCCAAACATAAAGTGCTTCCAGCTCCTGCCCAGTTGCCACACCACTGCATTCCAGGCTCACAGTGTCCCCATTTCCCACACGTATCCTATCCTGAATTTATATTGAGCTGGTCGCCATTCTATCACTCCTGTTATTTCCTTTCTGGACTCCCCTTCACCCCACCCAACTTCTCCATGATCAAGCCTCACTAGATAATTCTAATGGTTCCTCAAAAATCCAGCTGGAGTGTCATTTCTTCTGGGACAACCTTGAGGCTGACCTCTGTAGTAGCCAAGCTACTTTTCTGACAGTCCTTATGGCACTCTTGATTTAGTCATATAGAGGCCCCTCCCCAGTAAGACTTCACTTAGGTCTGTGTTACCGTCATCTGCAGAGGACAGCTTCAGCATTATGTATAAGGCTTTGATAGCCAATTTCTCAAGCCTCATCCAAGATACATCTGACCAAAATTTCACGGGGTGGGTGCCAGCAACCAGGGTCTTTCTGTGAGCTAACAGCAGAACAGCACTGTATGGTACTAGACATCAGTTCCTAAGCATACCTACCACATCGGACTCCTGCCCACTTCCCTCCCCCACCCTTTCCCTAAGCCCTGGCTCCTCTTTTGCTGCCTGGGATGAAGTAAAGGATCGATAAATGGTCAATGAATGAATGAACATTGGGTTAATTAAATCTTACGTCTTTTCTGGGGAGCTAAAATTGCCAGGAAACACTATTTATTCCATAAACACCTACAGATATTCTTAGAATTGGAGTTTTTCTTTAATTTTGATTGGCTAAGGCTTAGGTGCACTGAGTGATTCAGCATCATTACAAGAAGTGCTAAAATAATTTAAAGTTTAGAGCTAGTTGAGATAAGCACAAAAATTAAATTTCTCCAAGATACATAGAAAGTCTCTCAAAAATACATTCTCATGTACTTGCTGGGGAGGGGCCTCTACATGACTAAATTAGGAGTGCTAAGGCCTGCCAGAGAAGTGACGTGGCTACTACAGTGAACTGTTGAGGTCAGCCCCAAAGTTGAGCAGTGTTTCCCAGAAGAAATGATACTCCAGCTGGATTTTTGAAGAACTGTTAGAATCATCTAGTGAGGCTTGGTCATGGAGAAGTCAGGGGAGGGGTGAAGGGAAGTCCAGAAAGGAAATAGCAGGAGTGATAGAATGGCGACCAGCTCAATTATGTATAAAAGTACATTCTACTGTGTAGCAGAAGGTGGTACACCTCTGCTTCAAGCTTTGAAAGATTTGCAGCTTTTCTAGTCATTATCTTTCTTTCAAATATTGCCATTTAGGAAGGAAAACACAAATTGTATAAAGAATGCCACATATCAAAATATTGTTTCATAGACTTTCCTGGTATCTCAGTTCCTTATGCTATATGCTTCTCCTAAAGATCACATGTAGCCACCTCATGTTAAAATTAACAAAGTCTTGTGACTTACTTTTAAAATTTCTGGTATTTCTTTAAAATAAAGTGGTATAAAGGTAGTATACTACATATAAACTATTCATCAAGGTCATGGAAACAAGATAGGTCGTAAGTTAGGAATAATTCTTTGTACTGTTACATGGACTAAGGGACATCATCCTTGAGGTCTAAAACAGAATTCCTTCTTACCACTTAGACCTAAAAATGGTGAGAGAGAAACGAGGAGTAAACTAATAGTTAGGTGTCAGTAGTCTAAGAGATAACTATGTCCTGAACAGACTTACTTAAATTTACTTATATTTGACAAAGAATGGGTGTTTTGTTTATCTACCTGTCTTGAGGTTAGGAACTTTATAGATGGCAATATAAAATAGCAGCATCTGCTAGTATTTACGCAGATCAACATGAGTAAACAGGCAAAGAAAACACTGTATGAGGATAGTTAGGGTCCAAGTAAATGGGAATTACACTTTCTGCGCTGTCTTCCCTTCAAGCAGGTACAGAAGAGGAAAAGGGAGATGCCCAAGCTAAGAAAATGTACCCAGTGCTTCTTCAGAGATGGATGTACAGTTGCTGTCTACACTGCTTGGTGTGTAAAAGGCCAAACTTCACCACCTCTTACAAATATTTTCATCTCCTGATTTCTTGATAAGAAACTCTCAACAGAACTCACTTAGATTTTGGAAACAAAAAAAATCTTTTTAAAAATTTATTTCATTTTAGTTTTAGTGTTTGATGTATTCTAAAAGGTGTCAGACAATATGAAATGTTGAACAAAGGCTTGTTTGCCAATAATTGTAAATGGATCAGAAAAAAAAAAATGTTCAAATTGTCAAAAATTGTTAAGTAGAAGTCAAAAGTAGATTTAACCTTCCCTCTAAAGCATCTCAATAGCACACAAAGTTCTGGAGAACTACTTTTTAAGATAACCACAGTTTCTAGGCACTTGCTTGTTTTACCCACTGAGATTTATACCATTTAATTCCTGAGGAATACTTTCCTACTTCCTAGTTTGTTTGTTTTTTTTCCTCCCAGTTTAAGTCTATGGCATCCGCAGGCAAGCAGAAAAAAGTGTAATTTCAGTAGCATGTTGATCTCCAGTCCCAACAAAGGAGATTTCCAATTGTCCCAGGATATTGAAAACAAACATGTGGGGATTAAGTTTAAGTAGCAACAGAAAAGAGATAATGGCTAAGATTCTCTTGGATTAAAGACCTTTGCAATTCAGGCTTTATCTGTAATTAAGCTGTTGTGAATGGGCATTCCAGTTCTCCTATTCTTTGAAATAATTCCAAAAATCCTATGAGCAGGTATACTATAGAAAGCAAACCCAGAGCAGATGAAGTTAAAGTAAATATACAGAATTTCACAATAAATTCTATTATAAAAGCAACAGAAAGCTGCAAAGGAAAAATGAATGCATGTGTTTAACTGTATATGAATGTGCATGTTTATGTATATATGGACCTGATGGGGGAAATTATTAATCATTGTTCACAAACAAATTATATTTAAAATTCTCATGTGGCATGTATTTTTTCCTAGACTTCCAATACTAAACACAAGGGGAACAAGTAACACTGACCATATCTTCAGCTACATGTGACTGAATAGCAGCACCCCCTGACATTATCTACAACTAACTACAGCATCAGAATGCCAGCCAACCACAAATTCCACCATGGAATATAAACTCATCCATTCATTCCTTCTCATTAACTTAACAGTCAGGCTTTGAGTAATACAATTAACATATTTATTGTTTTCTTGTGCTTTTGCCTCAAATTTTTACTTCTTGATGGATCACAGAAATCTGAGTACTAAACAAACAAATGCTTCTGGGAAACCACCTCTGTAAAATGTAGAGGCACCAAAAGTGCCAGAAAATATTTTTTACTATTTCAAGGGACCTACAAAAATGCTAAGGAAAACAAGTCTATGAACCAGTTTTATTTTTATTTGCATTTAACATGATTATACACATTCATGTGTCTAACAAGATCTGCACTGTTACATTAAAAATACAGTACAATAACATTCAACATGAGGTACTTCATATTTATATATTTTTCCTTCATAAATAATGCTGTAAGCTATTAAATTCAAGCACTCTGATGCACAAGTGGCTAGTGTCTTGAATTAGCCAAGCTTATTTAAACACCTTAAAAAACAAAACAAACAAAAGACATTCAGTGCAATATTTATGTAGAAATTAGACCATTTACTTAAATACTATATTAAAAGTATGCTTAAAGAACATTACATAGAACTGCTAGCCTCGTCCCCATTGATCCCCAGTATGAACAACAACGAAGATTGCCAGATACATTGGGAAAAGCATCTACAGAGTATCCTGTTAATAAAGTTGTGTTTATACACTAGTTGCCTGCCTTGTCAGAATAATTTTAAAAGCTACAAAATTTGAGATTACTGAAGAAAATAAAGGAAGCACATTAGCTTTCATTCCATGTGGCTGAAAATGCAGAAGAAAGCTTAAAATTAAAAATTCTTTCTGAACATAATTTTCAAATTTAACCCACAGTTCTCAGTACCAGCCAATAGGTCACAGATGCATTTTTTTTTTTAAGCAGTTGTAATTAAAATAAAGTGAAGTTCTCCTCCCCCCAATGCAGAGGCTGCTCTACCCACTGCTTCCTAGCCACCGGGGGTGGGGTAGGGGAGGAGGCTATTGGAGCACTAATGGTCAGTGATGACCATTATAGTTGGATGAACAATCATTAGTCTAAAGTTGTCACACCCACCTTTACATTAACAATCTGACATGATGAAATGAACGTTAAATCAAGCTTTTTCTCCTTTGGCTTAAAAATGAGTGCCCTCTAATCAGGTGTCAAGCCCACCAGTTTGTGTGGTAGTTATGAATTACTAAAACATTTAACCTTAATTTTCAAACAAAATCCTTTGTGAAGTTATTTTTTTTTAATTGAAATGTTCCATATGTAATTGATGCTTTGCCAAAACTACTATCTGTCATCTCCCTAATAAGAAATAATTACTAGATGATTTCAGAAAGTTGTCCTGGGAGGACTCATTTATCGTCACCAGTAACAGCTTTTGATCATCTATGCTACCAGACATAGGTAATGGCAAAAGTAATTAAGAAGTTCCTTATAATCCAGTGTTCTCCTCCATCAGGGAAGCTGGCCAAAGGCAACAAGCCCACATTCATAGGAAAGCGGCCCAGAAGCACAGTGAATAAGATAAGGGAGTCCCTCACTGGGGCCTTGCTGGGGCCAGCAGGGGGACCATTTCTGCCCCACCTCCCACTGGCCAAGCAGAGAGGAGACCATTCCTGAGCTGGCAAACGCACGTGCACGCGCGTGGATGCCCACGCACATACACCCACCCCAGGACTAACCCCCGCCGCCAGACAAGCCAAGTTCAGGCTCGCTGAGCAGGGGAAGGAGGTGGCCAGAGACCACACTCTGGGTGGCAGGGGAAGCCAACTTAGGAGCACACTGAGCAGAGAGGCTGCCCAGAAACACATGGAAACTTCAACTGGAAGGGAATGCACTGACACGACCAGGGTCACAGCACTGAACTATCACAAGCCATCACTGAAGGAGAATTTTTGGATAAGTATTTCCCTCCTCTGTTTACAATATGCACAGACACGAAAGCTGGATGTGGTGCTGATGCAGCAGATGTTAGGTATAACCAAAGGGTGTCACTCCAGACCATTCTTTTTAAACCCTGCAGGCATATATTGGCACTTTAAGATGGCCAAAGGGCAGATTCTAGCAGTCCAGGAACAAGACAAAATTATAACTAAGAAGCTAGTATGTGGTCAAGGTAGATCAGATGAAGTATAGTTCAGATTGGGGGGGGAAAAAAGGGAATATAAGTATCTTATTAACATTTAGTGCTACAAAACTAATTATTCCATTCATCTAAAGAATTGTTTGGTCCTCTTTTAATGGGGAAAGGGAATAAAATTCTATACAGTACAACAAAAAAACAAGTAAATGGTGGGGATTATAAGCCAGTGGGGAGAAGAGTTTGACTTTTTCAAACTGTGTACTCTAATATTCCATCAAGTAAACTGTTGCAGTTTTGGACTTCTTTAGGTTTCCTTTAAAATTTTTAAGTTAATAGGCCTGCAATATTTTTGGTAGCAACACAGTTTAGTCACTTCCAAAAAAAATGTCTGTACTTCAGTATTTCATTTTCTAAACTGAAAGGATATGAAACTGCATATAGCAAAAGTCATGGCCTTAAGATTCATTTTCTCACCTTCCAATTTTATACCAATACTCTTCAGTGCCTAAAATATGACAACCTTGTGAATTTTAAGATTCAAGAAAAAGCAATGCCCAAAATAAAATATTTAAAAGGAAATAAGACCTAAACATGACTACTGTCTTTCTAAATTGTTACTTATTACAAAGCGAAACTTCTTTCAAAATTGTACACTGAGGCTTGTATTTTTGGGGTGGAAGAAGTTTGAAGGGGTCCCATTTAAAAATAACTTGTCATTATTTATTTTGGCCTCTTTCAGTTTGTCAAAATGAAGCAGTAATGGAAATCTGAGGTGATCCAAAAACTCTCTTAAGAGAAACAGGACTGGGAGGTCAGTAGGGTAGTCAGAAAAGAACACAAACTCTCCCCAAGTATATAGACGCAACTCTAAAAACCACAAAGCCTTAACAAGAACTTGGCTCTTTTAAGCATATAGTTAAAAGCCGAATGCTGCATTTTTTTGCCTGTACATAATTAAAAGGTTCAGAGAAATTAGAAACTGCCTACAGCTTCATTCATTACAAATTACCTGCACTGATCACATATCTGCAGATGAGCTAAGCATCAAGCAAGTAGGAACCAGAGATGCACCCCAGAGCTCACACTATTTTCAAGCATAGAATATAAGTTCAGGGATCTGCCCCCCCTGTACCCCAGTGCCATTAGTGCTATCCGAGGAGCACTGAAACTGGACAGTCACTTTGCCACACTGAACTTCCGTCATGCCTTCTTGTCCAAAATAACTGAGTTCGTTGCCATCCAGTATCACACTGGCTGTATAGAAGGTGTCTGGCTCGATCTGCACTGGGTACTCAAACCACACAGGGAAGGTATTGCTGGAGCCATCTGAGAAGTACTTGCTCAAGTTCTGCCCCAGGACAACACCCTGCCGCTTGAGTTCAATCTTGGCGCTGTACTCTGCAGAGCCACAGCTGGAGCCATACAGCCCAAAGCCGGCAATGAACACTCTCTTGTCAACTGCAAACTGAATGCTATCACAGCGGCCCCGGTAGCGCCACTGGTTGCTCCGATAGGCACAGGATTGAAACCGGTGACAGCGCTGTGGGACAAGGCCCTTTCGGGCTTTGCTCACAAACTGCAACTCAGGCTTTTTGGCTGCAGTGTACCAGAGGAAGATGTCATTGGTCTCATTGAGAGTTAGAACTCCAGACTGTGCAGCACCATTTGCAAAATCATCCAGGGCCATTGTGGGTATGCGGATCAGGTAAAGTGCCTTTCCAAGGACCTTGCGTTTATTTTCAATGCTCAAAGCGAGGTCTTGTCTCTGGCATTCTACTTCAGCCCAGTTGAGAGCTGCTTCAAAAACCACAATTTCTTTGGCATTCAAAGTTTCCCTGCGGAGGATACTTTCCAGTGTCTGGAAGTCGATATCACAGAATCCCTCAGACTTGAGTGCTAACTCAGCCTGAGCATCTATCACTTCCCAGCACCGCTGTGTCAGGTCAGGCTCCTCGAACAGGCAGCTCTGGGAGAGGAGCACACAGGCATTCTTGGCGCTCAGGCTGGTCTCCAGGAAATTAACGCAGGCTCTGGCGAGGTGAGGAACAATGTACTTTTTGGCAGCATAAAGAGTGGCCAGCACTGTGTCAGCAGCCAAGTCAATTTCATCACAATAGATGTATCTTGAAAGAAAGCACAGAGCATGTAAATGAAATTTCACAAAACGAGCGCGTCCAGCAAAAAAAGATACAACTACTTTCAAGTTAGTTCCAAGAAAACCACCTTATGTGATATTTATTACAAAAATGACTGAGAATTAAAGAAATATGAAATATAGTCATAAATTATTAAAATTCCAATTCAGTAATAAGTTTGTATAATTAAAGACATTAACTTGGTGTTAGTCTAGTCTTTTATAAGCTGAATTCAGTATCTCCTCAAGGAAAAAAAAAAAAAAGAAGACACTGCAACAGCCTGAAAAAGAACTGTATTATTCTGTCAATATTAGAGAAAATAGCAAAATTCTATTACATAGTGTACACATAAAAAAATAAAACTTGCTATGTAATTTTACTTAATTTTTTTTTGCAGATAAGAGCAAATGTCTTCAATGCTAACAATGACTGTAACTTGATGTTATTAACTAAGTATGACTTAAGATTTCTTTCCTAAACACAAAATAAAACTTATTAGTAAATAAAATGTTTCAAGTAGTTCGAATTTCAATGTATTTTCAAATACGAATGTGGACACTACCTTTTAGCTAACAGTCAATTTTACACAGACTCCAACAATGGTTTTGTATTTGGCTTTTTTTTTTTTTAAGCTTTTTTTTTTCTTTTTCCCTACAGTTTCCTTCCATTTCAGAATTAACAAATATATTATTTCCAGACACATTTAATTAAACGACAGTCTTTACATATGGTCTATGTGTGTGCTTCTGTGACATGTTCCTATCTTCCTGTTTCAGGGGGTAAAATACTACTTTGGTATTTTGGAGATGGTGACAGCCTTCCATAATGGTATATAAAATGTAGTGATCTGCTGCTCCTGCTTCTCTTAGATTGCAATGAATGACTAAGAGATGATCAGTGAGCCACATCAGGTGAAATATATATACTGATAACACCTTTTTACTTTTCTAGCTGAAGTGGTTAGTTATCGCTGTGAAGTTTTCCTCAGTGACACAACATATGAGCAGTGGAATCTGTGAAAGAGTACAAATCTATAAGGATGGCAATGAGAAAAATGCCTTCACTCACAGGTAGAATCTGCATTTTTTATTCTCAAAAGCCCCTTCACTTCTCTGATAGGGTAAGCTAGTCACCACTGGCAAGACTGTTTAACAAAACAGCCTGCCAGCTGACTGATGCTCTGACCAGCGCCAAGATGATGGAGGATTCTGGAACATGGTCAATACTTTGTAGCTCTACCCTAAAACTGTACAGTGAGCACTCTGTCCCCCTTTTGGCTACCCCTTTTCCAGGAAAACTGGCTGAACACCCACAAAGCTGGAGCAAGGAAAGCCTAGGTCCCACTATCTCAGGCAATCATTGATAATATCAATCAACTAAGGCACCACAGCAGACGGTTCTTCACTTCGTTTTGATTCCTACCACTTCACGTGGGTTGCCAGTAAAATTTACAAGGCTGTATTAGGATGTTCTAGGCAACACATTTATGTGAAAAGATGACTGTCAGATGACAAATCAAATGACTTTGGTCTTAGATGAAACAGAACTGATTCTTAGGCATGTTTGCTAATTATATATATCATGAATGACACAACATTCTACTCGACTGCAGTGAAGCCAAAATGCTGAACCAGTGTTAGCAGTCTCCTCTGTGATAGATAACAATGTCAAATATACAAAGCTGACTTCACTGGAAAAATAAAACAAAAGCCCTTGCAGGTAAAATTGGCTTCTATAATCTGGAAAATTATAAAGGTCACAAAAAGCATAGGTTGGCTAAATGTGGTAGATCAGTTTGTATTTTGTCACTTCGCATTTTTAATTTTCCTATCATTTACTGTGAAAGTTCTAGTCAGCAGCAATTAGATTTTTAAAACTTTAATACACATAGAGAATTAAATACATATAAGTACCAAACTAACTGCAGGGTTTATTTTTCAGTAGGCAGTAGGCAATATATACCGACATTTTAACCATTTGTGGGATTACTGTCCAACTTGTTGGCCCAATCAATAATTTTTTTTAACACTCTATTTGATTTCAGTGCAGTGAACTGAAATCCTTATAGCAACAAATAACCTTAAAGTCTAATATACTTTGAATATGCTACAATAGGATTAATACAAATCATATAAATATTATTCAGAATACTTACTGGATTTTAATGACATGGTAAACTACCATACTGATTAGCAGCAATGCATGTCACAGAGGCAGATTCTATTTATCTGGTTAACATGTACTGAATGCTGAAAAGGATCCACAAGATAGAAAACTTTTCTATGTGTGTCCTGTAGCTTTACCTTTTATATTACCAGTTAAGAGTTTTAAAGTACAAATCCAAATGAAACTGTAAGAAAACACGCCTACCTTTCAAAAATTTCTCTTCTATCAAATTAAAGTCTCTTAGTCTTGAGAAACAGTATCTCATTTTACATAAGAGCAAGTATACATATATGTGCACAAAGATTGTACAATTTCAATGGATAACGATTTTTGTATCTTCTGTAACTCCTAGGTAACTTCAATATCCCTTAACTAGTAACGTTTAAACAAGGTGTATGATTTCTGTAATTATGAAGCAAAAAACAATGTCTTTAAAGACTTCTTTAGATACCAGCTTCAGAGAGCGGCAAGCTCTATCAGATAATGCCTACATTACAGTTATTTGTCTTTAATTGTTGGTCCTTAAAAATCCAATCACTATACAAGCCACTTGCCCCTAAATCCCATGCCAAGGTTAGTAATTATAAATGCGCTCATCATTTTACAAGCTTCCACTCAAAGATGCATACTAGTTTTCTTCAGACACATTTCTAAGGTAAGCAGCACCCTCTTTCTTCATCAGCCTCGCTTTTCTGTTTCATAGAACTTATATTTTACTGTGCAAGCAGCAGAGTAGAAATACAGCATAAACAAACACTTTCCAAACATAGGAATGATGCTTACTTCAGCATAGCAAGAAAAGCAGCAGGTTCGACATCTGGTATACGAATTTCATCTTTGTCCTCAGCAAGTTCTCCATAAAACATTGCATGGAACACGGAGCTCCCAACAGCTAAAACATACTGTGGAGAAAGGGAAATCTTATTTCATGCACTAAATAAGAGAGCATTTTCAGCAAATCAATCCAGAAAAACAACTCTAAGCTATCAGGTTTGGTAAATACAGAACACCTGAACCTTTTTTGAAAAAGCCATGGTCCAGATTATGTTATCATGAAGTATTAGGTAGATGTTCACACAAACCACAGTCTCTGTGCTTGTAATTAATATACAAATTCTCTCAACACAAAATAGGGAAAATACAATAAAGGTTTATCTAATTTTAGAAACAGTAACAACATATCACTTTCTCAGCCTATCACAACTTTCTACGACTACAGTGTTAAGGGGGCACTTTTTTTGTGTGGCATTATAAAGCAGGGTAGAAAGAAACAAAGAAAAAAAATTAGTGTAGCCCAGGCTTTTTGGCGAGGCTGTGCTTTCTCTGTGATCCGGTGAAACATGCACTGCTTGCCATGGGCAAGCTGCCCACCCCAAGTTCCAGGCTTACTGAGAGGGTCCCTCTTTGTAAATCTAAGGACTAAACCGGTAATGCAGCTGTTGCTTACTTTGTGTCCTGGCAACCGCTGAGTCCCACCTGGTGGCCCAACCACAAAGTGTACATCTGCCATCAAATCATTATTGAACATCACCGCATTTCTATAAACAGAAGCAATTCATTAATCCACAGCACCAACATTTTTGATGCCTCCCTCCCAATAACAACAACAACAACAAAAAAACCCACAAAAGATTCAAAAGCTAAGCAACAGTTTTTTAACTTTAGGGTAAAACTACAACTAAAGATTCCAACTAAACAACTGTGGTTGTAATCATTGCAAACACATGGGAAACAACTAAAGTTTAAAAAAAAAAAAAAGTTATTCAAACTTTTCTTTAGGCTAAAAGACAAAAGCTTTCTATCTTCTATGGCTCACAGACACAGCCCTGTCACTTAAATGTTACAGCTTGCAAAAACATTTTTATCTAGGAGGAAAACAGCTGTACTGTTTTGGAAAAGATACAAGACAGTTTTCCATTACCAATAAAGCTTCTGGGAAAAGAGGAAACACAGATTTACATTAAAATACATTACAGGTTTCAGCAAAAGCTGAAACTTCAACACAGGAAAACTTTTAAAGTAAACACGCTGGTCCAGCACTTACCTTTCTCTAATGGTGGGATAAAGACCCTGCCAGTTAGGGGCTGGAATAAGGTTGTTGTTACTAAGATTTTGCTGGTGGTACTGCTGGACAGTGGTGCTGCTGGAGTTGGCTGGTTTTTTACGGGGGAATATATCAGCAGCCATCTTCTTCTTCTTTTTAGTCTTCAAGGTAATTATTTCATAACAAACTGGGGGCAACTTGCTGTTGCTGCTGCTGCTGCTGCTGTTGCTGCTGCTGCTGCTGCTGCTGCTGCTGCTGCTGCTGCTGCTGCTGCTGCTGCTGCTGCTGCTGCTGCTACTACTGCTGGTATTTGTTTTCTTCGTGCTTTTCTTAGACCTGTTCTTTACCGTCTCTGGAAGCATCAAGAAGAAGGTGAGACATTTCATGTTCTTTTCCTTGTCATCTACCATGAGTACAGTGTCTCTCTTTATAACCAGATATCCCAAAAATTGATACAAACATCAAGCAAAAGAGCTTAGCACAGCTAGGATGTTAACAGAAACCAGCAAGCTGATATTTTGCTTCTTTCCTCAGTCAGGCAAGGTGACCTTTTCACTATGTTGAATAGAAACTGGCTTTAAGTTTTATCCAGTACTGGGTCTGTTAAGTACATCCCCATCATGATTCCTGTTTCTCTTCTTCGCTCATAAAAATAACCCAGTTTTCTAGATAAGCTGAAAATGCTACACTGAGCAAAGATGACAAGCAGAGAGCCGTAGCACTTGTTTTCTGAATTAGGTTAGCAAGATGTGCTGGAGCTGCGAGAGTCTGTTCAGCCGGCTGAAGTTGTGTGGTGAATGGATCGGGGAGAGTAGGTATTACAGCCCTGCAGATGGAGTCAGACAGCCTGTGCTCAGAGCCAATAGCTGAAGTCACCAATCATGATTGGACCAAGCAAAACAGTGACACCTATTGTAACGTGCATAGTTCTGATGTTAAAGGAACAGCAGTTGCATTCTCTTGTCTGCTGTATTACTGTATATTTAAATAAGATAAACAACCTATGAAATACATTTGCAAACAGGAAAGGATGCATTTATGCTCAAAGATTTTCTCCAATACACTTACATTTTTATTTCTCCAGTAAAACAAGCAGTATCAGTTAACAAAGAGTTAGAACTGATTCTAAAGTGTATTTCTAGTAAAATCTGTATCCCAGCAGCATTTCCTTTTAAATATTTCAAACAAAATCCTCCATTCTACCATCTAAAAGAGATATGAACAGCAACACCATATTAAATAGTTATAGCTTAATGGGAATTTTCTTTTTCTTTTCTTTTTTTCCAGTCTCTTTGAATGCAAGTTATAATTTAGGCAAAATAAGAGACGAGGTCATGTGTTCATTTACCTTCCAATGCTTTCAAGCTCTTTTAATGATCTTTGACAGGAGTTCCAGACCACAAAACACTGTTAATTAGACTAAGATTATACCAGTAGACTGATATACCAAAAGACAATGAAACACAGACAAATTCAAGATGTACAAATAAGATTCAAATGAAAAAAATCTGGTAATGTGTTTAAAGGCTGTAATTCACTTTAAAAAAAAGTCAGAGGAGGCCTTGTTTAGGATCTCAAGAGCTAACCTAAGTGTTATAGCTACATTTAGACCTGTCATAATTTTAAAGACTATAATCCATGACTTCCAACATGAAACTAATAATACTATCCAACATGATAAATGTTCTCATATGGACAAGTTAAGAGTGCAAACAGAGTCTCTCTGTTTTGGATCAGAGAAAACACTAAGTGGTTCGTATAAATGTAAATCCATCAACCATTTCCACCTCTGAGTAAGAAAAAAACAGAAACACCTGCTATAGGTGCCACACATGCTTATTTATTTCTAAAGAGGGACTAATGAGATTTAGTCTCACCCCTATCTATTTAGATCACTTTCATTTGTTCAAAGGATGGCTGCCATTTACTATCCCCTACCAATCTAATGCACCATCCTGACAACAACCTTGTGTGTTGCATAACATCCACTGAATAATGAGAGCTGACAGAGTAAGGGATCAACAAAACAGAACTGTACTTATTAGAGCTAATTATCTAAGACAACACTACAAAAATCAGACTTCAAATCCCTGGGACCCAAAGTCACTAAATAAAACCAAAGAATATCTTCTTTATTGTCATCATTATATTGTTTACAAAGCCACTACTATACAGTCTGTGCAAGAGAACCGGAATCTTTAGCACAGGTTACTGTGCCTATTTTGTATGATGCTGCAAGCAGGGTTCCTGATTTCTTACAATGAACTCTTCCCACTCACAGGGCTAACACCAAGCACGTATACACAAACTTCAAACTGCCTTCAGGTGGTGGATTTTTGGGGTTTGTTTGGTAGGCATGGTGTAGCAACTTTTGAAGACATGTGAATCTATACCTCCTAAACCATATAAAGTGTTTGTAAGCCACTACCTCCATTAAAAAAAATAAAAATTCAATAAAAAAAACTGCCTTCAAACACGTCAACACAAGAAGAGATCTAGAAACTGCTTTTAAAAGCCCAGAGAGAGAAGCATGAAGAAACAAATGTGTTTCAGTGAATTAACTACTTAGAATGCAATTAAAACCAAAGGGTTTCTCTCCTGTTCAGCTTCTGCTGTGCTTTCTGATGAGAATATTCCTAGGAAAGTTCCATGACAGGGAGGTCCTTCTGACTGGGGTTAATCCCAGAGTATTTCTAATAAACCTAGTATCTGGCTCTATCTCCTCTTCTGGTCAGAAGTGATCAATTCGAATGTAAACGGAAAGAGATTCTTTGAGGCAGTCAAACTGTAACTGGCAGGTGAACAGACAAAATAGAAAAAAGCATAAAAAGCCGACAAGCGGGGCCCTCCCTGGTGGCTCAAAGGGTTAAAGCACAGCACTGAGAAGCTAAAAGCCACTTCAGTATAGGTTAGATCCCTGCCCTGGAGGTGATCCAAATGGCACCACAAACCTCTCTTGACCCACCAGCTGCTCCCCTCAGCAGTGTACTTCGTTGATCTGCCTGTTCTGTTCCCCACTCTGTCTCTGGTGAATCCTCTCACTACCCCTGCATCTCTGGTCTGTACCCCAATTCTGTATACATAAATAAGTAAATCTTAAAAACAAAAACCTGGCCCTCCCGGGTGGCGCAGCGGGTTAAAGCACAGCATTGAGAAGCTAAACCCACTTCCGCATGAGTTTGATTCCCGCCTGCCCGGGAGGTGACCACATGGCGCAGCAGACCTCTCCTGGCCCAGCAGACCTCTCCTGGCCCGCCCACTGCTCCCCTCAGCAGTGTGCTTCGTCCATCTGCCTGTTCTGCTCCCCACTCTGTCTCTGGTGAAGCCTCTCGCTGCCCCTGAGCCTCTGCCCTGTACCCCAATTCTGTATACATAAATAAATAAATCTTTAAAAAACAAAAAAAAAACAACACATAACTTAGAAGTTTTTGTAGTTTCCACTCATTTCATAGTGCAACACACTCTTCAAGAAAGTTTCCAAAAGCACTGCTCTTACACCACTACAATAAAAAAGTAAATACTGTGCATGAAACAGTTTGAAAAATAAAAGTGCAGTTTAGAAAAGGTTTTTTTTTTTTCAAAATTAAAGACTTCAGTTATTTGGAAAAGCAGTTTTTGTGGAAAATCTTGAAAATACTATTTAAATGAAGTAGCACCAAATCACAATAAACTAGAATAGTCGTGCATAAATCATGTATGTGGAGATGAACAACAGGGCTGAACATAAAGCCCTGAACAGGGCCACAGAAAGCAATGCAAATTTTAAAAGCAGACATTTTAATTTTTATAGTTAATTTGAAAAGCATGAAAAATCAAGACAATGGAAAACGACTCCAAGAGCTACCTTTTCTCACCATGGTAGTAATAAAGCAGGTAATGAAGGTCCTTGCTACTGCAAGTGGCACAAGAAGCAGCAACAGCATCTCCTGGGAATCTTTTAGAAACCCATAATCTCTGTCAGATTTAGGATCAGAATCTACATTTTAACAATATCTACTAGGTAATTTGTGTGACATTCATGTCTGAAAAACTCATAAAAATAAGGAATGTTAGAGTTATAACAATCTAGTGTGAACCACGGTGTTGTATTTTGCATTCAATTATCAAATGAACAAGCAAATAATTCAAAATTATCTAATTTAGTTTGAGCATAAAGCCTAAGAGCCTAAAAATGGCAAGTATGAACCACTTAATATTTTTAAATAATCTACTTCAAAATTCTGTTTAAAAAATTAGCATGGTGACACAGTACAATTAGCTGCTTCAGTCATGGCCAGGACACTTAAGTCTATGGGGGTGGGGTGGAGGTGTGTTTAAATAAAGCATTTAGCCTCTAAGGACCTCAGTTTTCTCAGCTACAAAATGAGGAGGTTCACTGGGAACAGATGAGTATTTCTGAAATTTATCTTACTCTCAATTCAGTAAGAAATGCATTTTATATTTTGATTCACTACTCCAAAATACATAAACTCACACATAGAAACATATAAAAAGTGTACAAAATAAAACATTCAGCATACTAAAAATGCAGTCTTATTCTTTTTCTTTTCTTCTTAATATTGGTCATGATTTATCCCATTGATTTCATGACCACAATTTAGATAACATGGGTCTAGAATTATTTCTAAGGACTCTTTAAGGTTTAGTATCCCAGGATCCATTTCTATGAAGACTTGGGCTAAGAGACACTAGGTGAGGAAGACCACAAGGGTACAACTATTTACTTGAGCCAATGGTTAAACCCCTCAACTTACACAAAAAATCAGAAATGTGTGTTTCTTTTTTCTGGAAAAAAGAGAAATCATAATTGTTACCTATCTTTCACAGTAACCCATGACCCAGAACACAATAAAAAGTTATAAAAATCTAAGTTTGATTTGAATATATGAAGTATGTATATAATTCTATTCTCTGCTTTCATTTCTACAGTCTATTTCATTAAATAAAAATAAGTTTCTTTCTCCCCCTACTTAAAAATAAATATAGTTAAAATCCTATTTATTTAGTCTGTTACTGAGGAAATTTTCAACTGAATCACAAAGTTATAAAGGATATCACCCTTTATGACCTCTGTCACATTTTACCACTAAAATTCCTTTCCAGCTAGAATTGTATCCCTTGTTACTATACCTCCTGTATTTTAGAGCTATTGTGAGACATGGTTAACCTGTCCTAATGAGGTAACTAGGTCAAAAAGTCCATCAATTTTTCATTCAAATATTCTCAAAAGTATACAATATGCTGATCCTGCTATATGTTATGTGTTGGGCATACAATGGTGAACAAGATTAGCAATCACACTTAAAAGATTAGATAATAATAGTGAGTTTCAGATGGTTTTTATAATTTTCACAAAGTTCAATCTTCTTTATCTCTTTTCACTCAATTCCCAATAATTACAAAATTTCCAACAAAAGTTAAGCTTGCTCAGATCATACTCTTCAGCACTTAAGGTTTGCCAGATGTACTGAATTTAATAGAATCTTGTATAGCCATTCGATTTGGGGATTTGAATGAGGTTTTGAACTAATAGGGACTCTGGAAACTATTTAATGCAGTACTATCTTACAGATATGGCAGTTAGATGTCCAGAAGACTAAGGGATTTCCTAAAAAAAAAAAAAAAAGTCTATAGTTATTAAGTTATGGGGCAAAGTCTGTGCTAGGATGCAGATTTCCTGACTGCCTGCCCATTTTTATCTATTCAACTCACTGTAATTTTAATCTGCAATAATTACCCCATCACATACTCCTCATTTTATCTTCATGTTTCTAAACAACTTTAAAGAAAGCATATGTGCAAAATTCCAGAGATGCAAACCATACTTTGCACTCTTTGAGAAAGAATGCTGGGAAGACTTTTTGGAAAGAAATGAAGAAAAAATATAATCTGAAGGTACA